TCCTTTTTTTTTTTTTTTTCTCACTGCATATTTCCAGCCTGGCTGAAAACTTGCTTTCTGCAAATCTCATCCGGCCCGTGAGTTCGATCCGTGAGTGTAATTATACTGAACAGAGATACGGTTCGCAGTGTGCCAAAAGTTTTGTAAAGCGTATCACCTTACGTACGCGCAAGATGATGTACCTGGCACATTAACTTCTTGTCTGCGTCGTCTCGTTTGCAACGTTATGTGACAAAGCGACACAATGTGTCGTAAATCTGTCCCTCTTGCAAGTTAAAAAGAAAAAAAAAAAACGACGGAATTATTTATAAATTAAAGAATGAAACTCGAGGCATCGACCCGCAATTTATTCAGGATGCTTTTTAAATAAATTCGTGCCCGTTATCCTCCTGTTTCCAGCACAAAGGGAATTAATTGGGTGTCGAATATAAAATTACCGGCGATATGAAAAACGATTTTAGAGGAATGTTGAAGTGTTTCGCGAGAGCTGCTCTCCGAATGCGAGCGAACACGCATTTTTACGTTTTTTGTTTTTCCTTCTTTCTGTTCTATCAGGTATCGAAATCACATTTTTTTTTTTTTTTTTTTTTTTTTTTTTTTTTTTTGTTTCTTTTAATTGCTCGACAGTCGTTAGTGCGATGCGCGATGAATTTAATGCGATTTCCAACCGGATAAAAATCGAGCGATATCAAATCCGGAAATCCCCAACAAAAATCTCTTTGAAACGATTACATCGGTTGAACTAATAAAACGAATTGCAAAAGTGAATCGCTTTACTACCTTGCCAATTATCAAACGTGGCAGATGTGAAAAAATAGTGCAAATATACAGAACGAAATTAATTCCCGATGTAATCGAGCGTAACGAAATTTCGTCCGACCGCGTGGATTGATTTCTCCCTGTAAAAGAAAATGTCACCAGTCGTGCAAATGCCATCGTACAAGATCAAAGATCAAACATTCGTGTTGCCACGAAAATCATTTCATTTCCCGTGAAAATCTTAGAAAAATATGGCGAGCGATACGAGACCTTTGGCAAAATATTTTACTTTCACGCGTATAGTATTTTCATTGTTACTTGCCATCGCGTTTTCGTTACCATTTTTCCTTTCTCTCTTCGTTCAGCGCACTTTCATTTATCATTTATTACTATCATCGAGTCGAGGCTTGATCGAACGCGCCATTAGCCCGCTGTTATTGGCAACTTAGTGTTCAATATTTAATTAACAACGGCACTAAACCAGCCGCGTTCAATTAAATCGCGAAATCATTTCTAAATTATTATCTAGTTAAACATCGCGTCCCATTGTTTCCAGGCAAAGAACGAGGCCCATATAAACGGTGAACAAGAACGGCAAACAATAGCGCGGGGCATGTTCGACGATGAAGACCCGACGGTCGGAAGGGGAGAAACGTTTCCCGTCGCGATATTAAACCCGATTCCGCGAGACCCAGGCAATCTGCTTCGCGTAGAGCATACATCGGACATTATTAATCAGACATTCAAACCAGCAGTGGCGTGGATGTTTGTCGACGAGAGAGGCAAGTGGACGCGAGCATGATTTATGAACTTCGCCGATACTACTTGGAGGGGTAGGTGGTCGTCGCAGCGTGTCGCCCAGCCTCGTGGCCCAAGTCGTTTAATTTCGCCGATTTTCTCGTTAACCACCACGGGCAACAATTTAATTCAATAGGGGGATTAGCGAGAAAGGGGCGGGGGTAGAGAGAGGGTGGCCAAGAACGCGCGTTCCGTCGCGTACTTAATACCGCGATATAAGCCGATGTTAATAATCCGTCCGGGAAAATATTTTCGGCCGGCTTTCCCGCGGAAAAATAGTAATATCCAGAGAACGGGGTAAGGGGTGCATTTCATTAACGCGTTCCACCCTCCTGCGAAAGAGAGTTATCAGGATTAGAAGTATATCTCCATCCCCTTGTACGATCGACCATCCCTCTTCCATTCTTCCGATATCATAGCTCTCTCTCTCTCTCTCTCTCTCTCTCTCTCTCTCTTTCTCTCTCTCTCGCACGATAATTTACTGACCGAGTAATTTCAGCGAGCGAGTAGCAAGTTTTAAGTTTAACACAGACTTTTGTCGTGTTAACCGGCTTTCAATAATTTTGCAATTTACACGGAGCTGGTCAAAGTTGAGCGACTTTCAGTGAAAAAGCTTAGAACCAGAAAATAATCCGTGTTGGCTACTTTCAATCTCGATTGCGCAGTGAAACAACTCGCTGCTGCGAATGTGTGTCCATCAATCGTATTTATACATACGGCCCGTGTGACTAATTGCACACAGACTTCTGTTTACTAGGAAATTTATGTTGTTATTACGCGCAGTGGTATATTTATCGATGTAACCTCGAATTTCTAACGTTCGCAAAATTTCGCCAATCACATTAGTTGGACACACGTGCAAGACGAAGCAGGAAATTAATTACGAAGTTCCAGCCCCCGGTAATGTGTGTTTTCTGGCGATGGACGTGATTTAATATATTTAACAGTACGTTGGAAATCGGTGACCGGCTGGTTGGATCCGCCCGTTGCCCGCGGTTATATTCACGTTTAACGATAAACCATTGAACCGTGCCGCCGGCTTTTGTGACCATGGATTTTTGCGAAATCATATTAACCTTTGCCTGACAATAATATTCGCTGCCGCGCCGGTTTGATCGTTCATCGAAAATTGCCGTCAGTTAAGGAGATCTTAATCGCGTGGACGCGATATTAGCGGGGGCCTGGTAGCCGAAATAAAATATCGACGCCCTCCGCTGGCAGGTGTTGCCGAATCGAATTTTGTCGTTGATTATCACGTATATAGGGGGATGAAACGTCCTATTTGCGGACGTTATCCTATGAAAATCAATTTTATAAATTATTCTACACCGTATCGTGTAATGTGTATAATGTGATTATTAATCCATTAATAAGTTAATGGCCCTGAAAGATCGTTACGACGGGGGACAGGGCTATGTATGCAGCCGATACGTTAAAATGCGCTCGTTAAATGCGATAATTAATCTCTTGCAACAATTACTTCCGAATCTTCAATGGGAAGAGTGCATCATTTGCATAGCTGATGCGAATCGAAAGCGTTTTTTCTTTCGCGAGTTAAAATAATTTATTGTTAATTAATTGCGCAGCGTAATGGATAAAAATGATTTTATACCGAAGGAGATGCGTGCGTTTTTAGCAAATGAATATCCTTCGAGCCAAACGAATGCTAACTTTAGCAAATAGTTGCCGATGGTTGCTTTGAGGTCTTTGTGGCCGTATAAATACGCCTTTGTACCGAAAAGATTAAAAAAAAAAACTACTTAGAAATACATTCGATTCGTTATGTCAGAATTTTTCACAAACTACTGTTTAATTTTGAGTTAATCCTTAATAAAATGATTACTTTAAGGTCTCTGAAACTCTCTAAATATGCCATGTTCATAAATAAAAAGAGAAAAAAGTTACAAGAACTCATTGCAATTACGTTTAATTGAATACAGCGTGTACAAATTTACTTTATACGATTACGATCGTACGAAGGACCAAGAAAAAAGAAAAATAAAGAAAAAAAAAAACAATTGTTTCATTTGGCGTACAGCTGACTCGTCGCCAGAGGCGGACACGTCCGTGACTCACTGTCAGCGTGGAAGAAAAGGGTGGCGAGGTATACTTACACCGACAGACGTGGAGTTTCAGTACGTCTCCCCAGAGTTGTGCACATCGACCTGCGGTCCACCGTCGATTTCGCACACACGTCCTTGAGCCTCCGATTCCGGGCCGTGCGAGTCGAGTCGAACGGTCGAGCGAGCGTTGATCAACTGGCACACGCACCTTTCATCCGGAACGCACCGTTTGCACGGTAGTCCGAAACGAAGCCAACTAGATTTCCTCGAATCACTGGCCAGCCACGTGACTAGCCATGGGGAACAGTCGGAATTTGCGCGAGACACGAGCCCCGCTCGCTCGTGCAGCACATCGGATCTCGCTGTTAGCAGCGAGTCAGCGTGTACCAACTGGCATCGAGAGGAATCGAAACAGTAACAGTTCTTGCCATGGACTTGGTGTCAGGGACACAGACAGACAGACAGACAGACGACGGACGGTCGGTCGGTCGGTCGGTCGGTCGAACGAGGAAAAAAAAGTTAAGCACGTACTTTGGCTGCGACGAGAGAGAGACTAACAACAAAAGACACGGGAGAAGCAGAGTGGCTAGACTAGGACGGACAAACGAAGAACAGAGACAGAGAGTAGACAGAGAAAGATAGACAGAGAAAAAGAGAGAGAAAGAGAGAAAGAGAGAAAGACAGAGAGACAGAGAGAAATAGGAAGACAGAGATAGAAAGAGAAAGAGAAGGAAAAAGAGAGGACGAAAGACCGCGGTTTCTCCCTGAGATTTCGAGCTGCACTGCAAACGGGAACAGTCAGTCCTCACTGAATCGGAGTTTGCCTACGTACTCGCGGCTGTGAGACTTTGGGATCTGCGCAGTTGCTCGCTCACCACCACCATATCCACCACCACCACCACCACCGTTGCCGCCGCCACCACCACCACCACCACCACCGTCACTGCCACCACTACCACCACCACCACCACCACCACCACCACCACCACCACCACCACCGTCGCCGCCAGTACCACCATACCTTTAACCCCAAACCTCCATAGCTCCTCTCTCGACTCCCGACAACCCTAACCTCCGGTCTAGGCAGCGCCCTAACTCCGACTGACGAAAGCTCCAAGCGACGCGTGAACGCGAGACTTATTCTTACTCGGTGAAAATTACTTCCAACGAAGTTACCGGCCCGCGGATTAAATCTATGCTGACGCACCGGAATCTAGTATGCACGTTGCCGTTGCGGTGTGCTTAGGCGCGTGTTACGTGCTCCGCCAGATGAATGCGGTAATTACGATTCAAAATCGACGGGTTGCCTCGCGGGAAATCGATGGCAATCGGTCGCGGCTCAATGAACGATGCGCGTCGCAAGTTGAATTACACACTCACCTTATGATCATTCCGCTGAGACGTTTTAACGTTGTTGGCACTCGATGATGTTCGCACACGAGTAATTTCATTTTGTCTTAACAATGCAAGTTACGCCGTTGATGGCACGAAAGCAACCACTTGCGTTGGAATTAACTGGATACTCGTGGCCACAACTGCTCGCGTGCGATGTTAAGAATGTTTCCGAGCACACTGCCCGAGAATACTCTCTTTATCTCTCTTCGCACATTCGTAACGTGTTCGCCGGGAGTATTATTATTACGACCCCCGAGGAGGTTTCTCGCTTCCGTTGAAGGAACAATGCTCCTAATAACCGGTGATTAGACGAAATCCTTGGTTTCTTATCGAAAACAACCTTCGTGACTGCCTCTTTGTAATCTATTACGGCAAACGTTTGCATAATTTTTGAAATATATATCACACAAGGTTGTAACAAGTAAGAAAAAAAATTATCTGCGTCGTTTGTTTACCTAGAGAATGTATTTTAAGTGAACGAGAGGAAAAGGTGGAATCACGCTCTGCCAATGAGATTCACGATCAAAAATCAGGGCGAACAGGAAAGAATCTTGTCCGAGGTGAGACGCTTCCTAAAGTTCGTTGCTCCGTACATGTTGTCTCCGCACAGTCCGTGGAACGTTGGCCGTTTGCCAAAGTCATTCTCACATAATTTCAGGGGAGTATAAGCGCCAAAAAATACACGGAACTCGCGGCTATAATTCCAGCATAAATCTATTAAGCGAAAGAATAATCGGCGTAGTTCTGGCAGTAGCGAAATGTTAACGTGACTGGGCTTAATTAAATTTGATGTGTTCACGCGATACCGGCTATCGTTTTAATTCACCGAGATCACCGAGGCGTGAGCACGTCGAAAGGTTGGCCTCCTCATTCATTTGCTCTTGTTTTGTCGCAGATCGTATGATAATGCGGAGTCATACTTTTGTTAATTACCCTCTGTGTTACAGTCAAGGATGTCGCACGTTATGAAACAAAGTGATGAATGATAGCTTATTCTTCCATTCTGACGCTTGTATCTGATGTTAAGCTGATGAAACAATGTTCCTTCTGCCTCTGCAATTATTGTGAAATAATTAAAAAAAGAAAAAACTTGTTCCTTTTTACCGGTGAAGAAATAAAACCGTATATATCTGATCGAGATGGTAAACGCCATCTAGTGATCCGATATACTAAACGAATAATTTGATTGCACGTCGATAATATTATTGTTTCTCTTTTCTCATCATTTTCTCTCCGATTTATAATTAACTTGAACAGATTACGAAATACGTCGACATCTCGCAAGTTCATCGAGTTCATCAATCAAAAATAATATTAATTTGCATTAGGTTTATCAATTAAATAAAGGAAAAACGATATTTTTATACATCGTCAAATGTAATAAAAATGATAAATTAAAAATAGAAAAGTTAAGAGTGAAGTCACGAGTATATGAAGAAATGTTTGTCCAAGATAAGTTTATGCTAATTTTTAATTATTGAGTACGGATGAATAAAAACAGAAGTCAATGTAATGACCTTAAAGCTTTGATAATTATATTAGTGCATTAAGAATAAACACGACAACGGTGAAGTAAAGTGAAATACAAAGAGCTATTTTTAAACGCGTACATTAAGCTACAGGCTATGAAGAACCGAATAATACCAGATAAAATTACTATTCGTATGGTTACTCAAACGTTTTTTTCTTTTTTTTTTTTTGTTAACGTTAAACTGTATAGTAATTGAATGAAAAAAATTTAATACACGAAATTAAATAAGCGACAATATATTGTATTTGTCGAATCTTGTATTAATGAAAATTTCAAGAACATTCATTTCATAAATAAAATTATGCATACAATTGCTATTTCTAGTCTTCGAACGCTGTACGTGATATTTTAATAACAAAAAAAAAGAAATATGTAAAATGTAAATATACGTACGTAAATGTAAATGTACGTACGTATGTACGTCTGATGGTTCTTCTCGTTTCATGTTAGAAAGATGGAGTTAACATCGTGACGCGATTGTAGTAAAGGGGAAGTTAATCTGAGGCGATAATTCAAAGCCACGTTATCGAGAAACCTAATGTCAATTGCAAAGTTAATCGATGTTCTCTCTCTCTCTCTCTCTCTCTCTCTCTCTCTCTCTCTCTCTCTCTCTCTCTCTCTCGTTCGCGGTAGAGATACGAGTGAGGCTGGCAGGTCGTTGTTCCTAGTCAAGATCATGAGATCCCTAGTCCCGACATTTCGCAATGCTGGCGTAATGCCTGACCTCCGCTTCCAATTCTGCCGAATGCAATTCTTCAGAATTCGACGTGCTGCACTCATCACTCAATCACGCATTGACTACGTGAACAAACGCTTTCAGACGTACAAGTGACACGTACCATATCCAAGCCATATCGATTTCCCATTGTCCTCTATAGGCATCCAATATACGTACACCTTTGTCATGTTATGACAATTGATGCAAAAATATAACACTGACGCAATTAACATCGCGTTTACAACACTTTTGACAAAAGAAATTTGCATGCAACTTTACCGATAAAATTATTACGTTTATTTTCTATCAAGGCACAATTTCATATTCGATATTATTTGATGCAGAAATAAAGCGTAAAAACAATTTTGTATAATGTTATTATCACAAAAAGTTGTTAAATAATTCTTTAGCTGACGTTTGAGCAACTTTCAATTATAATAGTTGCCCCATCTCTCGGTTTGACCCTAACCTAAGCTGTACACCTTGAAACATGTACCTACATACATATATACGTACATAAATACAATTCGTATAAACATGCGAAAAGGAGACGTGATGCTCATTGTCGTTCGGGCGTTACATACACGTTTATCTCCTTAGGAACAATATTTTTTAAGTAAATCTTACGTGGAAAAAAAAAGTTTGTGGGTTAAAAATATCATTTCGGTAATTTATTTTAATACGGTTACAAAGTCTGCGACTAATTTATAATTTAAATATCGCAAAAGACAGTCAAGAGCGATAAAACGCATGCGCGTATCGTGTCACCGGTGTTCACTTCACTGTTAATCGTTATTACTGGAGATACGGTGTTAAAAGTATTGTTTATACAATTAAACAGTGTAAAATAGCGAAGGGATATCGAAACAGAAACAGAAATTACGCACAAGGTACGAGTTTAATAAAAACACATTTTTATTTTTACTAACAAACATGTATGTGTATATCTTTACGTGACACATGCACATTAAATGCGAAACTAATACGTTCAGTCGGTTCGATGATTATTCAACATTTATGTTGTTTATAGTACGTTTAACATGTAACCACGAAACGTCATTAATTATTCAGTATAACACAAAAAAACCTATGCATCGTGCAGATAATGAATAATCAATAGACACGTGTGAAATGTGATTGCATAACGCATCATCATGTGTTACAGAGGATATTAAAAATTGCTTAACGATCAAACGTCCGGAAAGAAATTCGCTGATGTTCGTGATAAATATTTTGTGTGAATACAGAAATACACGTCTTGCGTGAAGTTATATCCAGATCAAAGAAATTGAACGAATATTTTCGAAAAGGGGTTAGTTAAAGTGCGCATGCGCTTAATGTGTGTACAATTTCGGGAACCCCGCTCGTTCAACGAGACAGCATTAATCGTGATTCGAGGACATAATTGTAGAAAATAAAATAAAGTAAAATCGTGAGACTGACAAACGATTTAACCGTTCGAACGAGATATCGACGAGATATCGAATTTTCCTCAACAGATAAATGTCTCTCCTCTTGACATAGGAGGTTAGAAAACATCGCGACACAAATAGGATCTTTAGTTGCTGTTTACTAACTGAATAATGGAGTTGTACATGGTATTCGACAAGGGGGGATGAAATACAGTGCGTGCGTATGCATGTGATCGTGTGTGAAAGAGAAAAAGTAGGGAGGGAAACATAACACCCCGAGAAGACGCGCGTCGCGAGACTAATACGACGCAGAAAGAACGAGAGTGCGCGTCAGTAGGTTTTACCCTGACCTCGGTCAGACGGACATGGTTTAATTTAACCGGATCCCTGCAAACTCAGTTCAATCTATCTTTGTCCAGTGGCACGTTCAAATCCTCGCAACGTTCGCGATTTAACCTCATCGTTCCATGGGAGGAAGGAAGAATACACCGTTTTTCCGGTATGTAAAGTGTATTTTGTCAATCACGACCAACTCGGACGCGTGGAAACGTTTTCTACTAAATTGTTTTAAAATTCTGTGCCACGAGCAAACGTGGGATTACAGCAAATTTTCACGATATTTTTGCTTTCGTGCAAACGTGGAAATTTGACATTTCCTCTGACAATTTCTTGTTTATTTTCTTCGCGTTTATAAAATTGCTATTGTAGCAAAAAATTCAATGTATATATATATCTCGTTTCGAATAATGATTTGCTTTTTATTTGCTGTAGTCAAGTACATGGTCTACGTCCGTTAGTTTAAGATGATAATGACCGGAAGTGTACACTCCTTTCTTTTTAACTTGAATACTACCTCCTATATATATATAAGAAATAGTCTATATTAAAAAGTTAAAGCTAATCTAAAGACAGTCTAAATTAAAAAGATAAAAGTTAATTTTTTAAATTGACGAAGATTGTTTTTATGTCTCAAATGTATTAATTTATTTTTTATGCATATTTTCTGTATAGTAATATCGCGAAATTTTAAGAAAATCGAAAGCACAAATTTTTATTAAATAATCTTATTGAATTCTTTGAAATTTTGTTATTCAACGATTATTGAACATGCGATTTTGCGAAAAAAAAGGAAGAGAGAACATTATGCGACAATTTAATTCAAGTCGGTAAGCTGCAGGAAATAAATCATGTTACAGTTTGCATAATCGTCCGTCTCATCAGAGGAATTAAGAGAGCACGATGTTCGTGCTCGCGAGAGACATATCGTCGCTACATTACCGATTTAGACAGATAAGAAAACATCGGTAGAATCGTCTGCTGAAACCGGTTGATAAACTGTTGGAGAAGGAGAAAAACCGAAATCACTCTGTCTAACGAAAAACGTCCGGATTTCCCTTAAATTCCAGCTGAAAGCATTCCTGCCGCCACGATAGGCGAAAATCCCGAGTGTAAAGGGTGGAATATATAAAGGAGACGGATATTTGTAAAAAGTATGAATCTCTTGCCGAAAGACTCGATGCAAATGACTCGATCCCCTCACGCGCCGTTTCTATCGTCGCGTCGCGTCGCGTCGCGTGGAAGATGGGGGGGTTCCTGGCTCGGATGAAATTTAAAAACGAAAGATCTATGGCGCCAAAGGCGAGGCGACTGCGAGAAATACAAGGAGGAATCGAAAGGGCAAAATACACTTCCTCGTATATCCCCGGCTCCCGTATATATCCTCTTTGGCTCTTTGGGGGATAGTAATGGTTCAGGCCGAAGGCAAAACTATACGCGGAAAGCTAAAGGGGCAGTGGAGCGTGCAACGCGTAGCATTCTGGCGGAAAGCCTTCCTCTCGGCTTCGTTTGTGAAGTTGACTACTGGCCAGAGGCGTCGTCACCTTTCTTTGTACGTGGCGGCTTCTTCGTAGGCCGCACATGAAAACTTGCTCAAATGTTATTCATCGTCATAATCAAGATGATTGTGCTCGGAATTTAATACGTACAAAATTACCTCTGTCAAGCGTACGTGTTTGACCAACGAACCGACAGTAACGAATGGAAACGTACATTCCGTTCACGTTGCTACCGTGAATGAACACACGTCCAATTTATCTCTTCCCTGATAATATTTTCACCGTATTTTTCATCCTCTTGCATTATGCTTTATGTCTTATAAAAAATATTCCATCCTGTAGGATTTTGTTGCTCCTCGCTTTCAAGGATCATCGTTGCTTACTACTTACCGATAGAAGAACGACGCGCCAATTACGACTCGAGTAACAGACAACTGCAATTACCAACGAATTTTTAAGATAATAATTGTCCTGCGAATGAGGACTTTTTCAATGGCATCTTTTTTTCTTTCTTTTTCTTTTTTTTGTTGGAAAAAACGAGAGAGGCGGTACCTGAAAACAGCAGTAAAGTCCAGTGAAGAGCGCTTTACGGAAACGATTAACGATTCTGGCTCAACGACCTGTAGCGCCGTGCATTGTTGCTCGGAATTACCGACCGCCAATTGCAAAGTCCGTTCCTAACTGACAATTGCTCCACTTGCTTTAAACCATTAGTACTCGCCAGTTATCTTGTTGGCAATACACTACAATGAACGTCGTTGTCGTAGCTGGTTAAAGTAAATCTCGGCGGCGCGGCTGCGGCGACGATTTCTCCTTTTCTCCAACGGTGCATTCACTCGTAATTCGTATATTATGCCGTTACGCGATAACACAACTGAAACGATTGTTCGTCGATTGGTAACACGTTTGCAATATAATGTTCAATCGAACGAGCAAATTAGTGGTTTTATCAAGTTGTCGGTACTATTGTAATTACGCTCATGTTACATCACAGATGCGTGCATGCTGGATACATGTATATCCGGTTTCTGTCGTACAATTGTAGAATAACTTTTGAAGTAGGTTATCAAATTTCAAGTTATCGAACCTTTATTCAAATTTAAACGCCGAACGATTTGTTTGGAGACGAGGAGATCTTGTATTTGCAGACACGAAGAAGTTTCTTTTAGAATTCAGAGCGAAATGTTTCCGGCCTGTGTTGGCACTTCGCAAGAAGATAAACTTTCCCAAACTTTCCCAAGAACGTTATATGTTGAATAGGAAAAGAGCAAAGGAATCCCTCGATCAGATTGTTGAATTCGAATCGAAGTTTTTCGTGTCGTATCTCACAGCGTCATCCTTGATTTTTTGCAATTAGACACTTGGTGGAAATATTAGGGCGAACAGTTATTAACTCGTAACTATTTTTATTTGCAGATATTCCGTGTTTATCAAGATGTTGGTACTACTATTGTCAGTGGCCATACTTGGCACATCGACGTTTGCCTATAATGGCGAATTGGTGGAACAAGAATGTCCCGTCGACTGTCATTGTCATTATTTTCGCATCAACTGGGTGACCGACTGCTCCGAAAGCAATTTAACCAGCATCCCGAACGACGAGCTCAGCCCGAACATTTACATTCTAGATATGAATGGTAACAACATCGCACAGATCGGTCCATTTCCACATTCGATCAAGCTAAGGCGTCTCCAGATGGCACACAATCGTTTGACCGAGCTCAAGTATGAATCCTTTGCTGGATTAATTTACCTGCTGGAAGCAGACTTTTCGTCAAACGCGATCACTCATGTTGATCCCGAGGCATTTAGGTAAGAGGACTTCTTCCCATACATTTTCTATGGATAAATGTGTGCTACACACACACACACACACACATACGTACGTAAATAAAAATTGTCGCACCTGTTTGCCACATAAAGATAAAAATAGAAATAGCGATAGTGAGAGGATATTTATAATTTTTTTATTTATAAAATGTGTAGACAGGTAGTAATCTTTTTACTTACAAACCGTAGCGTAGGATGACTCATGATTTTCTATTGGCAACAACTAAATTAAATCAATTTAAGAAAATCTGTCTGAGATGTTTGATCTCAAAGTTTTGAAGTTGCTGATCCATTGAACTTTGTTCAACTTTGTATCTGTTCGATCTTATAATAAATAGTTTAATTATTCTTTTATGACTTAAAGTTTAGTAACAGCATCTGTGAGTTTTTGTTTATTTATTGGACAAATTTTATAAATCTTGATAACAGCAGTATGATCTAATGGATTTTAGAAATTAAAAAAAGAAAAGGTAGTATTTTTCACGTTTTACATTTTTTGATATTGCTTGGAAATGAAAAATTTATTTTCACGATATTTGATATTACTATAGGTGCATATACATATGAAAACATTCATATTATCTTGCTGTTTCACATTCTCACTGATTTTTATCTTTTCAAGGAAATATCGAAATATCACTGATCAATAAAGTCGTGCAATTTATTCGATAAATAGAAGTTGACATGACATTGATAAATGCATCATCGAATATACATTTTAAATTGGCTTCGCAATCAGTTAAAATGTATTTACTCAGTACAGAGGATGAAATTTTTTTTCGCGTTTTTTATATCGTAGAAGTATAACAATGAATCCATTCTTTTAAATTTTTAATATAGCTGAAATATATTCAAACCTTGAATATCTTTTACGTAATTCGCTTCTAATCGGTGGATGCTATTTTTTCAATGCTACGCGATAAGTAAGTAACAAAGTCTAGAGTATATTATACGAATTTGTAATAATTAAGTGATCGTTATTGTGGTAGAAAAGTGTTGTTTTTATTCAGTAGATAAACATTGATCTAACGTTTTAGTTAAGATCAGCTATGTTATTAGCTTTAATTACATCTTCAGTTTATAGCTTTTACTTTTATGTTCAGCGCTGCAACAAAATTTTGTTCTCAATGTAATTTAAAACTATCATTTAAAATCTGCTTCGTTCGCACGTTCTGCTGGCTGTTTCAGTTACCGGCCCTTTATAAAATTAGCAAGAGTCAGCTGTTTTTCACATGCTTTTCGAGAACCAAGCTCGTGTTACACTTTCTAGTTACAGCGTAAACGAAAACCATTTAAATAACGATAGGAAATTCGTACACCACGTACTTTTGTGTGCGCGTTATACTATAATCATGGATTATAATACTTCAACAGGGACAGCCCTGGTCTAATCTCGCTGGAGCTTCAGAACAATCCTCTGGACGAGGTGAAAGGTCACTTTTTAAATTGTCGTACCCTGCTCTACCTCGATCTGAACTCGTGCGGCATCCACCGTCTGAACACACAGTTCTTCCACAATACTACGAATCTAAATAAACTCGACTTGTCGCACAATCCGCTCGGACAGATCGAACCCGGCCCGTTTGATCACCTCACTAATCTGGAATACCTGAAGCTGAACGCTTGCAACTTGACCCACATCTCTCCGGATGCGTTTGCACATTTGGAAAACCTTCGCGAACTCGAGATGGCGGAGAACGATCTGCGCGCGTTGAGCTGGACGAGCGTCTTAGCGCCGCTGATTCGTCTTGAATACCTGAACATCAGAAAGACTGGGATTACCAATTTGCCAGGAGATGCGTTTGCAAAGAATTTGTACCTCAGGCAGTTGGTGCTCGCCGACAACGAGCTGTGGCACTTGGACGTTGGAAACACGCTTGGCCACAATCTGCATAGTCTTCAGTCGTTGGATTTGTCGAACTGCAATCTACAAGACCGCTTGTCCGAGGAAGCTTTCAAAAATGCTAGTAAACTGCGCGTGTTGAACCTGAGCGGCAACCCGATGTTCGCCGCCGATTTGACAGCCGTGTTGCGTCACTTGCCGAAGCTCCACAAGCTTTCGTTGAGCAATTGTAGTCTGCGACGTCTGCCTAATGCTTTCCACGTGTTCGAGCATCTAGAGGAGCTGGACATCTCGCACAATCCTTTGTCAGACGCGTTTGTCAGTTTATTGAATCCATTGGAATCGTTGGAATACCTGGACATGTCCTATTGCAATCTTGGTTACGTCGGAAACAACACGTTCGCTCACATGACCTCGCTGAAGAAACTAATATTGTCTGGAAACAAGCTGCATACTCTGGAAGAGGGATTGTTCGCAAATTTGACGAGATTAGAGAGCCTGGAGCTGAACAACTGTGACCTGAAGACCCCCATAGATCCTAAGGTATTCGGCGACCGAGTCAGTACAGACATCATCGAACTCAAGCTCAGTGGAAACTCTCTGGAAGTGCCTCAAGAGGGTTCTCTGCTTCCAACGCAATTGTCCAATCTCGAAATCCTGGATCTAAGCAACTGTAACTTGCAGCATCTGAACGAAAATCTGTTTTCCAGAACTAGAAATCTCACTCAATTGAATCTGTCCGGTAACAGTATTTCCGGCACAGAGAATCTAGCCTGTCTGAAAAAGCTGCGCATGCTGGAGCATTTGGATCTCAGCAACAACAGTCTGACCACCATTGTACCGCGAATATTCAAGTCGAATCCACGCCTGTTGTCGCTCAATTTGCTGGGTAATCCATTCGTGTGCAACTGCTTTATCACGGACATGTGGGACTGGGCGTTACAGGTGAAGAATGATCTGCACGTGCTGGTGGGTAGCCAGCCAGCGAACTTCGAAACTGGCGCGGCGAAACTGAGGAAGAGCCTGTCCTGTACGTACGACGATGAGACTTACCGCAAGATCGTGGAACAGGCACGTGCCAGCATGGATCAACGACGTGCTAGAAAAGGTGATTTGACCCCGACTCGTACCTGGGCGAAATACGTCCGCGAGTCGACCTGCGGTCGTAGTTTATGATACATAGCGAACAAATTTCAACATCCGATACTGAATGTCTATTACGACAGGACACACGGCAGACAGAGAAGCGAGTTGTAAACGTATCTTGAATCAACGAAGTATACACACATACACATACACACACATACACATACACATACATATACACAGACACATACACATACACATACACACAGACACGTATAACTGTGTACAAGATGTGCTATCGTCAGGTAATTTATCAAGATTCTACCCCAAGGAGAACCAACAACGTCCCTTTTACTTCCATGGCATATGACTTTATTTTTGTAGCCGATTTAAATAGGATTAAGATGTGTTGGTAGTACGCGCGTGCGTATACGATATCAGGATGTTGGAAAAATTGTTTGTACGCGGAACTCGTGCACGTTCTTTCGTCTGAATAGAATCTGGCATTCAACCTCGTACGGTCGTCGTCATCTTCACGGAATCATACGATAATATAGAAGATATGGTGATCGATCGTTCTTGACTGTCTTCGACAAACCATTCTCTCCCCTGTTCGTGGGGAATTATGTTTATATACGCGCGAGACGCGATAGTCGTATTTTATTGGGAAGCGGTGCAATTCGTCTGGCGTCAATCGGAATGATTAATGTAACGAGGGGTGATAAGGTAAAACAAAGAAAAAGGAAATATTTATCGATTGTCAGAACAATGGAAGGGTCTCGAATTATCAATCACCCTTTTACTTCGAGTCTCTTTTGTGTTTCACCAACGTCTCTTTCTTTTTTTTCCACACCGGTGCTGGGAATTAATGGTCGAAAAAACCAGTCTAAGATCGTTCGTTGTCATGACAATGGTGCCGTGTTTTTAATTAATCTCGCTCAGCCATCGAGCCAACTTTTACTCTCTTCTTTTTCTTCTCGCGAGAGTCCGGGAATAATAACAATAATAATAATATTGAACCGAATTGACAACTTTAGCCTAAAGGCTAAAACGAAAGATTGAACTGAAACGTGAATGGAGAGGATCGAACTATTCCGAATCATGAAGAAGCGAGGGAGAGATCCGAGCTATTTACCTGTATGAAACCGAGCGTGGATTTTATCTAAACGCTGATGAACGATGTGAATTCGTGCTAGCCTCGCGTAAACACGTCGTGATTAACAGTTACGAGGCCCTTGCATGCTCGTATATACACTTATATCTGTTACTTTCGTGTTATTATATACGAGCGCGTGTTACGCAACGTAACGTAAGTATGGACGTCGCCAGGTATATGCTCCATTCAGAAAAAAGACTCAATTGCTGGAATTATTAACCCTCGACTAGAACCACTGAAATTTACTACATCGTTTAATGTTTTGTTTTATAAGTCCAATTCGAGACTTGTTGGTAGAATTTTATCTATCTAATATTTATTAATCTTTTATTTATCTAATAGTTGCATAGTTGCACAAGATATTATTTTTCATTTGTCAATTTGTTATACAGGAGTTATTTCTTTCGAAACGTTAATTAATTTTGTTTGTTGAAATGAGATAAAAATTTGGGAAATTAAAGATAAAGCAAGATTAATTTTGTTTCGCTTTACTAGTCGCGAATCGATTGATGATATAAAATTTGTTATCCGTTGTCCTTCATATATATATATATCTGTTAAGTTAAATCGTTAAACGTATTTATTTTAGATTGTAATTATTCGCGAGTAGCGTTGCTAGTTTTCGGTTAAAGACACACGCCGAGAGATATTTGTCTCCTTTTGAAGTTGAAGTTTACTTTGATGTTCGCGTCTCCTCTTTTTCCGTGCGGATCTATATTTATGTTTTCCGTATCAACACGCTGTTTCAACCAAAAAGTGTTCTCTGGCGGTGTCCATGTATAAATACGAGATAGATCCTGTGGTAAGTTGATTCTCATTCCTTCCCTCAGATTGGATAGTGACGATTTAATTCCAGTGAATTCCAGTTTTACATAATACAGAAATAATTTTTTCGGCAAAGGAACTCGGTTAGCGCTCATCCAACACGAATTGAGACAAAATACACGTGTATGTTGATCTGCGAGAGAATGGGCATGCGAACCAGTTTTTTTCAATCTCACTGTCGCTTCAAGCAAACACGAGTAAATTCAGATGCCGATGCGATTTCACTATGTTCACGGAATGTATAAGACTGTATTTAATAAAGAAGTCATTTTTCTTGATACTTGGTATCGTTTCTTGTTCATTTTTAGATCTGGATAACAATATGGAACTACAAATATGAAATGAAAGAGACTTGCTGTCGTAATTTTAAAAAATTTGAACATTTTTATGAACATCCGGCAAGTTTTCAAAATTGATATTCTCAGAAATTTTATTATGTTGTCTTAAAAACCATGTTACTCATAATTTTTGATGTACATTCTTTCGTTTTAAAGTTTTACGTCCTATTCGATAAAATATGAAAATTATCATATTATCCTCTATAATTATCATAGTATCCATACAGGTGATATTATCCATTGTATGATTTTGAATATTTTAAAATTAGCTTTAAAACTTCGTCAAAAGAAATTTCCGTTATGATAATTTGAAAGACGCATTTTATTGATTTATTTGTTAAAATAAGTATAAATTATAGGCAATTGTATGTATAAAATAATTTTTTTGTAGCAATATTTTTTTACTTTAAGTCGACAAAAAATTAAATAAGCATATATCTCCATAAGAACAAGGTATAGTTAATGACATATTAACTTCCATCAATCACTCACCATCGCTGAACACTTTGTGAAATTTCTGAATTTAAATTAGCAGGCAGAAACCATGCAATTTTGAAAAAAGATTTTCAAGGTTCCGAAGGAAAAGAAGTTTTACATCGATTTTCAACAATTTTTAAATGATTCAAATATTTAATTAATTTATTGAAATAAATAATAATGTCACGAACTGACCCGAACCACACGTTCGAAATTGAAGTTTAAGTAGGGGACGATTTTACCAAATTATAACCCTGTGTAAAACAGGCGCGATTTATTGAAAATAAACGGTGTGACATACATTTAAGCGACGTGTAGACTATACTTACGGACGTTCATGTGAGCGAAAATTTTATTCTGAATCACGTTCGTTACGTGTACACGGAGCTTCATGATAACACTGAAATTGCACAGTAAAAAATACAAAAAAAGAAAAAAAAGCATCTGTCTACCATGCATTTTACAACGAGTGAAAATGAACATTGTGACATGATAAATAAAAGAGTGTATTAATCGTGTACTATAACGACGTGCACAGTGTGTCTTAACCTCGTCAAGCACGGTTTAAACGCATGTAAAACGATCAAAGCGAATCAGTTGCGCTGGCAGTGCCGAATGTATAAGTTGAAATCATTGTATTGCATAATTCTTCGTTATATACGTACGTACGTACCTTGCACATGGCTCTCACATTTCTGAACGCGTACACGCGCATATAGAACGACCATGGACGAGTTAGTTTGCAAGTGTGAGAGTGGAGAGCGAATCCACTGGCGTGCACGTGACTGATTCTCAAGTGTACGTTTGTGTCCGTACAGTATAGTCAATGTACAACTAGTGGTACCGGCCGGTCGTCTAGTAAGCTAGTTGGCTGTCCAATTATTTGAACGTCATGCGCGTGGCCGACCAAGTCGCTCCTAATGCTTAGCGATCGGTTGTCCGCTACCGGCATTCGGCTTGCAAAGATTGTCAACGATCTCGGTCAAACCGTTTCGTTCGCGTTATTTTCAGTGACATCAGTCTGTTGCACGTATCGACAAAGTGCACAATGTTGAACTTATTCGAACCACTTTTTGACATTCCGACGGCTTACTACGGGGCGCTGCTGGGCGTTGGATTCTGCGTCTACTACTTATTCGAAGTTGTTAAAGTGAGTAATAAAGTATCTTGCTTCCCTCGTCGTTTCGTTATTATCCCCTCGCAAATTTATCATTGGTTATTAATCGCCGTGCGAGTAGAACAATGAACAAACTGATGAGCCATGATATGTATATCATAGAAAAGCAACAGGCATATAATAACTTTTTAAGGCGATTTAAACGATGTACGTACCAGTTTTGTTTTTAGAGAGAATATTATATTTGTTTTTTTAGTGTCTTCGATGTATGCACGTTTTAGGGAAGAAATTGATATATAATTGAAAGTAAAAATCAACAATATATAAATTTCAGATTGTATCGTATACAGTTACGGTGGTTTGTATTTATCCGCTTGTCTTTTAACCTTCGTTAAATTCAATCAGCACCGCATTTAGACCAACGTCACGCGTCCATTAGAACGTTCGTTCTATTAACAATAATTTTGCCAGCACAATTTAAAACTTCGGATTTATTTTACTGGCGCAAGTCATTGACACTTTCACGGTGAAGTGTCTTTTACTTGGGCGTGTGACTCGAGATTTGGAAAAATCGCATGATCGAAATACACCAGTCCTTAATTATCCATAATTATTGCTCGAGTCTAATTATTTTCAATTTTGTATTTACGAACAAAGGTATTTGAATTCGCATTTATTTGATACGGTTATTTAATGATCGCAATGTACTTATATTATTATTTTATACATGATAATATTAAAGTTGTGAAATTTAATACATAGCGTTCTTAAACTGCAACGTTCCAACGGTTCGCGATAACAATATGATAAAGCTGATTTATCGAAAGATTTCCAAAGTCTAATGTAATTTTTCTTATCGCGCGGTTTATTAATCCGTGCCGATATATTATCAGGATTTCCGCGATACGAATACTTCGAACTCTCACACGACCCTTCGTACGAGCCACGAGGAGACGTACAATCTATTAATTCGACCTTAAAAACTCCGAGGCACTTGCCCCGGACAAATTGCATGTGTATTTAGGTGTGCGCGCGCGGTACATGCAGTACCAGAACAGGTGACACATCGTGTTTGCTAAATAAATATTCAAATCGAGACTAATACATTTAAAACGAATCGTCACGTTAAATTATATATATCCATACATTCAATTATTACGATCCATTGAAATTAGTTCATCTTTAATTTATGAATTATACATGAATTTACCGATAACGTCAGTTGTGCAATTGTTTTTTTTTAAATTTTTTATAACAAACTCAATGGAGACACGTGATTTATAAGCTTCGTTTTCGATAAAACGAATTTTTTTTTTATTTTATGTTAACGAGACGTTCTACTTTAGAAATAAAAAAATCTAATGGGCGTTATGAGCGTAAGCTTTTAAGTTTATACGTTCTACTTTAGATATAAAGAAGTTAGTTTTTAGAAGATAGTTTTAGTTTAGACGTTCTACTTTAGAAATAAAGAAATACAATGGTCATGAGCGTAAGCTTAGAAATAAAGAAATCTAATGGTTATGAGCGTAAGCTTTAAGCTAATTATAAGTTCTTTTGCTTTTCTTCTTCATTAAATTATTAAATATTTATTAGCATGATTGCGAAATATGTTATGTATTCATGGGCGTCAATTCAACAAAAATATTGTAATATATTCATCCGATTCTTTTACTGCTAAAAATATCGTAATATATTCATCCGATTCTTTTACTGCTAAATTATCCTCAATCCCCTACAGTTGCTCAGCTTTAATATTCGTTGATCAAACCGTTCATCGCGACCAATAAATTGATGAAAAAAAATAACAAGCCGTTTAAAATGACTTTTAGACGCCTATGCTGGTATGTGCGAACGGGCCATTCCGATCGTTTTTAGAAGAGCACGTGCCACTAGTGAGGAACAAATTTTGGCCAACGCTATGGTGTTTCGAATCTAGAGCACAGACCATTATAGCAAGTATTCTTAGATCTCGAATCTTGCCACCTATTCACTATCGAAGGTTGGTAAGTTTATGTTTAACGTCATTGCCATTTTTCTGCAAAAAGAAAAAAAAAAAAAAAAAAAAAAAAAAAAAACAAAACAAAAAAAAAAAAAAAAAAAAAAAAAAAAAAACAAAGAAAAAAAAAAAAAAAAAAAAAAAAAAAAAAAAAAAAAAAAAAAAAAGAAAAAAAGAAACAGAGCAACGAAGAAAATTTACAATCGAAAATGAAAAATATTACCAAACCGTAAACTGTTGACTTAACCAACAACGTTCTTATATCGCTGTGATCATACTGAGAAATGTGTACTTTTTCCCCTGCGTAGGGAAATTTTTTGTAGCATGGCACAAGCAAAGATTAACGAGCACTTTTGTCTCGGAGTGCACGATTACAAGCTAATTACCAGACTCGTTTGCTTTCAATCTAATTAATCAATCGTCGTACAGAGAGATTCTGACCTTGTCCGATGGCGGTGAAGTGGCTCTGGATTGGGCGGAAAAGGGATGTTCCACTACTTCGCCCATTGTAATTATTTTGCCAGGACTTACCGGCGCAAGTCAAGCGGAATACATCAAGTGCCTTGTCTCATCTGCGAAAAAAGTCGGAATACGGTGTGTAATATTCAACAATAGAGGGCTAGGAGGCGTGGAATTAAAGGTATAACAACATAACATGTAAATTTTTCCAATTTCTTTTATATCACTATATTGCAAATCAAAGATTTATTCCACTGTTTAATTCATTATATTAATTAATAAAAATTTGAAAAGTGTGTGAAAATTTGCATCATCATTTGTTTATTAATTTCTCTGTTTTACATATGTATATGTATAGTTTTTTTTGCTCCATTAAATTGATGAATAAATGAAAATACATTGAGAATAAAGTTACAATGATCTCTGAATGTTCTTATCATCCACAAGTAATATTTCATCTTATTGTTATGTCAACTGTTCCAACGTCCACATAATCAGTCTAGTAACCCTTCTTCTTTGGAAATTACAATGAGAATTTAATCGAACGATCGTATAATTTTCAGACTCCACGAATGTATTGCGCTGCAAATAGTGATGATTTATCAGAGGTTATCGAATACGTAAAAAAAATTTATCCCCATGTGCCTCTTGCAGCAACAGGAATTTCGATGGGAGGGTAATGAAAAAAAACTTTCTTTTTTTCTTCTATATCCAAAATGATATATAAATGTTTATAACTTACATACGTATCTATAATGTGATTTATAAATGTGCTTGTAAATAATTTGCTTATTCATGGCCTTCAAATTCATATAAAAGATACGATTAATACACTATAAGAATATCGATAGCAAAGCAATAATAATGTATATTATTGTACGTGCATTTTTTCAGATTAATTTTAGGTAATTATTTAGCACAACAAGGAGTAATGGCGAGAGGGAAATTGAAAGGAGGATTCTTAATATCCGTACCGTGGAACGTATTTGCTGCAACGAAAAACACAGAAGAGAATTATTTCAATTTAATGTTAAATAAATATTTAGCCAGTACGCTTCGCAAAAATTTACAACGTTTGCACTATTCCTCGGAAACTGGAATGTTCGACGTTGATATTGACACTATTCTTAAAGTAAGCCTATTTGGTGGAAAATTGATAATGCAATTTTACAATGTTTTAATATTCATTAATTTACCTATTTATTAAACGATTACAAAAATATTATTTTCCATTTGGCTAGAGTCAAACATTGAGAGAGTTTGATTCACATTTTACGGTGAAACAATTCGGTTACAAAGACGTGGAGGAATATTATTCCAATGCAACTATACATGACAAATTACATTTGATTGACGTCCCATTATTGTGTCTCAGTGCTGCAGATGATCCGTTTCAACCGCTTCAAGGTAACTGATTATTATCTTAATCAACCAAGCCATTAAGTTAGTTATGCAAATTTTTTAAATTATTTACTTATTTACTTATAACAATAGTTCTCTTAATTGATTTCTTCGTTAATAGCTATACCAGTAAAAGAAATATCAGAAACTAAAAATGTAGCTGTTGTTGTAACATCCCGTGGCGGACACATTGGTTTCATGGAGGGTATGTGGCCAGTGAAAGAAGAACAATATATGGGTAAACTGTTTTCACAATTTTTCGCGGCTCTGTTCACTACCGGTTTCGATTGTCAAATGTGACGAACTTATAAATTAAATATCAGACATATTCATAAATATTAATATTGAATACATCATGTTCAGGCATTGCGTAAAAACTATCACGTGCCATAATCAATCATATTCAGGGTATTGCACATGTGATGTAAATAATATTAATAATTATTGAATTTCCATTGCTTTTATATTGGAAAGATTTTCATTAATCGACTTACAAAATATTAGTTAATAATATAGATATAATTTTTTATGGGCACATGGCATATAACGTGAACAAATGAAATTCACATGTTCATTTTTACTGATAATATCGTATTTATTTTTAACATTGTTAAGTATTTAGTATGAAATTTTGTTATTCATATCTATATTCAAAATAAATAAGATTTTAGTTTTATACGTTTGTTTCGTATTTGTGCGAATTTACTTCAAATCTAAAACTATTAAATAATAAACTAATAGAAAAAAGTTCCTGAAAAATTGATGGTATTTGAAAAGTACAAACGTGTGTACTCAGTCATTATACTAATGCTATTTTTGGGAATCAATATAAAGATTAATAAATTCAGTGATTTGAAAGAAAAGCATAACTCCACATTTAAGAACATATTATGAATTGTGATACTAGAAGCAAAATTATATATATATATATATATAATATAAAACTATATATATATAGTTTTCGTTATAGACTTTATAAATAAATGTTGTAAAGAAAATATACTAAAATATTCTATATTATCTTTCTTAATTTTTTAATGCTAAATACGTATGTAAAATACAGAAGTCCAATAATATATTTTATCAATAAAATGTATTCTTGTTATTTAGTATTTAATAAAACTCGCATGTTAATTCGATCATTATTACTAGTTCATCCTAGAAAATGGTAAATTGGAATATGTATTTTGTTACATGGAAGATACAAGTCATGTTAAATTACATAAATTTTTTATTTGATACAATAAAAATTTTTGTAATAAAATAATTTGCTAAAAAGCATTCTAGAATATTTCGAAATACCATTTTGTAATATGTACGATAATAATGTAAAAACACCTCCCACTTCATAACATTTACATTCTCAAATATATTAAAATTAATTCTGTCCAATATTACGTTATATTATGTTAGGAACAAAATAACTTTTCCATTTTTTCCTCAGTACTAACATGCTATGTACATGTTAATAATATTGCATTATATGCATATATATTTTCAATACGAACGTAACACAATAATTAGAAAAAGATAAAATACAAAAGATTTGATCCATGGACAGAATTATCTTAAAAAACCTATACATAGTATCAAATATAAGAATGTTAATATCCTTGATATATGTTATAATTTGAATTCTAAATTCAATGATTTTACAATAAATGCCAAAATGTCAGTGCTTTCTTCGATCTGAAATAAGAAATACAATGTCAATTATATGTACATGACGAATTAATTATTATACATACTAACCACTTTCATAGTTGGTTTTCCACCACCATGTCCGGCTTTAGTTTCGATTTTAATTAACAGAGGATTGCTTTGTTGCGGTAATTTTCCTAATGTATGTTGCAAAGTAGCAATAAGTTTTAAACTATGCAATGGTACTACTCGATCATCGTGATCAGCAGTTAGTAATAATGTTGCGGGATACTGTCCTTTCTCAGGAATTTTTACATTATGTAACGGAGAATATTTTAAAAGATTTTCAAAATGTTTCGGATCATCTGAACTACCATAATCAGATACCCAAGCGACACCAATAGTAAATTTATGGAAACGTAACATATCCATTACTCTGTATAATAAATATGAAATATAAAATAGAAGAAGAAATAAATATACTTTTTGATAAAATTTGTCTTACCCAACTTGAGCAATTGCAGCACCAAAAAGATCAGGTCTTTGATTTATACACGCAGCAATTAACAAACCTCCATTACTGGCACCTAAAATACTTAGTTTCGAAGAAGTAGTATAACCTTTTTCAATCAAATATTCGGCAGCAGCTTGGAAATCATCAAATACATTTTGTTTGTTAAAAAATCGTCCGCCATTATGCCATCTTTCTCCATATTCGCTAAAATGAATAGTAAAAAATTTTATGTCAGACATACATTCGACTAACATTGTTGTCTGCCTTAACTTACCCGCCACCACGAATATTTGCTACTGCAAGTACTCCATTTAAATGCTGAACAAAAACCAGCTTCGTAACGCTAAACGTCGGTTGAATGCTTACATTAAAGCCTCCGTAACCATACAATAAAGCCGGCATAGAACCATCCAAAACTGCATCCTACATCAGATTTATTAATGTACTTCTTTTGATATAAACGAAATTTTATTTTAGAAAGATGTTACTTTGAAAAGTACCTACATGTTTCATTACTATAAACATTGGAATCTTTGTACCATCTTTACTTGTATAAAATATTTGACTAGTCTTGTATAAACTTGGATCAAAGTTTTTTACTTTAATCTCGCGTAATACCTATAAATATATGTACATATATTAATTAAACCTTTACTCGCGTTACTCGCGTTATAGTTATAAACATAGTTACACATTGAATCGGTACTAACTTGTGGATCCTCTTCATTTTTTAAATCAACTTTGTATATAATACCAGGAATTAGAAATGATTTGAATTGATAAAATATTTCAGAATATTTTTTTTGCCCAGCAAAATTGACTATTGTACCAACATCAAGCGGAAATGTTCTAAGTTTTTCTCCGTTTGTTAAACTGTGTAATTGTAAAATATTCTGCAGAAGATACATAACATGTCATAATTCCATCTTCATTTCGTTTTATACTTCTTTATGTTTAAAAATATTAACTTATGGCTACCTTAACATCTTCAATATAACAAGCTACAAATTTATCACCATCAACGGCACATGCCCAATCTAGTACATTATCAGGATGTTCTGGTAGAAGATCAACCCATTTTTCTTGCTTATAGTCCAATAAATCTATAGCTATCAATTTGTAATTTGGCGCGTTTTTATTTGTCCGAAATATCGCCTTGGTATCATCATTTGTTACATACTAATTAACAAAAAAAAAAAAAAAAGATTAATAGTAAAAAGAAATATTAAAATCAATGAACATTCATACTATGAATCACTAACTTCATAATCAGCTTCAAGTTTATCAACTACTTGGGTTAAATGCAACTTTTCCATTATTTTCACCTCTGGCTTTAATTCCGTAAAGTAAACTAGATTATCTCTACAATCCTTCACAGGTGTGATGATTAGCCATTTTCCACAATCAGAAACTTGTGCACCTCTAATGATACAGAAACATGTACAAGTGCATTTGTATAAAATATAAGTGTTTGTATAAAATGTACATTATGCTATTACAACTATCTACAATCAATCAGTTTTGTTAAAACACATACATAATGTATCACTCACATCCTCCATAAAGGTTCTTCAGGAAATTCAACTACAATGACATCTTCTGACTGAGATGTACCAACAATATGATAGCACAGCTTTTGGTCTCGATTACCTTCTGTTTCTGAACCATCGGTTTTACCTTTTTGCTCTGGATAACAACCATAAAAGATTCCACGATTGTCATGAGTCCATGTTATTGGAGAAAACTTTACTTTTTCCAAAATTTCTGGGTATTTTTCACCTGTGCATATTATTTAAACAATGAAACAATGAGTTATTTGATTAGAAATATCCATCTACATGCAAATAATATAAATTGTACCAGTTTCTGTATTCATAAAATGAATTGTACACCAATCAGATCCACTAATAGATAAACCATATGCAAATATGCTACCATCTTCACTAAATTTACTGCTAGTAATTGCGATGGTACCATCTTCTGATAAAGTATTTGGGTCTAAAAATACTCTAGGTTCACTATCCAATGTATCTTGTACATACAAAACACTGAAAAAACAAATATAATTGTCTGTAGTGATGAAACTCAGATATATTTGTCACTATTACCTTTGATTTTGCAAGCCAGTATTCTTATAAAAATAATATTTATTTCCGTATCTAGCAGGGCATGAGTATTTTGGGAAGTCCCACAATTGCTTTAATCGATCATGAATATCTTGACGTGCTTTGCATGAAGCCAAATATGGTGTGGTAACAGCATTTTGAGCATCAACAAATGCTTTAGTCTTTTCAGAATCTGGATCTTCTAGCCATCTATACTGATCTTGAATCTAGTAAGCAAAATCATGAAATTTTATGTTTTACATTGTAGCTTTTATCTTGTATGAAATTTATTTTTATGATATAATTAAATAATAAAAATACACCAATGTTGTACCAATATTAGTCTCCAAAAACAAACTATTTCCATCGTTAAAGAAATACTGTTATTTATAAACATATTTACGTATAAAGTTTATTTAAAAAGACTATCCTTTTTTTCTTGTTCTAACCTCGACACCATGATAATTATCGACGATGGTTTCATCGCGGTATGTTTCAGGATATTGTAATTTTTCCATTGTATTTTGATTTTTCGTTTGTTCCTCTTTCGCAAAATCTAGCACCTAGATTTTTTTTCGAACCAGTATAATTGAAATTCCGGTAGTAGTGTTAACAAACAATTATATCAGTAAAAAATCTTACTTTCACAGTCGAAAATGCTGATACGCAAATAAATTGTGGGCGCTTACCAGCCGTGGATTTCAGTAAATTCTTGCAAATACCAATGTGAATTTTAGACGAGTAAATTTTTGTCAATGAGTTTACAATCAAAGACACAGCCATGATATTTATTTTTCACGCTTAACACGTATGAAAATCAGTCAACTTTTTACAAAATACAGTACATTAAAATAATTTTTCCTAATAGCACGCATTAGGAATAATAGCTATTACAATTATAAATTTATTTACTTATGACTAGTGCATTATACGAGAATTGTTACTTTTTGTTATAACTTTGTTTAAAATAGACTTATATACATGCGTGTGCCTTAAATTATATGTTTCTTTGTCATAAATAAAAGGATAAAAAAATATTTGTCCAGTTTTTATTTATCTTATGTTACATATTATTAAATCATCAGTAATACAAAATTATGTATCATTGAAATATTTCCATCAAATATTCTTATTATATCTTCAATTCGACAGTTCGTATATGAAAGCTATTCGTTTAAATGTAGCAAATTATAATTACGTATAAAGCGTTCATAGCATTTCATATTTTTTTCAAAAAAATTTAAATGTTATCTTATTCTACACGAAACACACTTATGCGATTTTCACGTGAAATCCAGTAAAAATTCCAAATTTTTATTTCAACGAGCACAAAATAATTCGTGTAGTAATAAGATAAAATCACGTGACAGCTGATATAAAGAGGATCTAAAAGTAAGTGATAAACTTTGATCAATTATGCGTACGTGATAGAAATGTAAAATTTGTATCAGAGTAATTAAAAATGTCGTTTATCAATACAGTTATAAATGCAATAGTAGCACGAATACATCATACAGAAGAATAGGAGGATATATTCTTATCAAATTGGCCTTAATTACCCCCTCTTGCAACATATGTTGCTCGATTGTCGTATGAGCATGAAACACAGTATCGTATGATAAAAAAAATTAAAAAAAATAAAATACTGAAAGATTGAATCATAATAGGCATTTTAATAATCTATTTTACTACATAAATTTCTTTTTCATTTCACTCATATTTATACAAATTGTCAAGAAAGATATATTTAACATAAACATTTTTAGAAAATTTGATGTTATTTCGTCAAATATATCGTAGTTGCTTATCATTTTTAATTGGAAGTATAGTTTAAAATTTATAATAAATTAATTTTGCATTTTAAATCCTTTGTTTAATTACAAAATTAGATAGTGGGCAATAATATACATCGTAGAATATACAAATAAGATTCATATAGAATATGATCTTTTGAAATATATATATATACATATATATATATTTTTTTTTCATACATTTTAATATATTAAACAGTATTTTTTCGCAAACATTCTGAATTCGATAATGTCCGTGAAAAAAATGTCTGGGAAAATAATTATACGGAGGGGGTATCCGTGACAATATTTACGAGGCTGAAACTCCATGGGAGGGTTGATCACGATTCACAAATCACGAAGACGAGCCACACAGAGTTGCGCTTTATCGCGAGCGGGTCAGCTGTACTTTGTGCTGCGAACTTAGATAACCTCTTGCATGGTGTTTAAAGACCCCCCACTACTTTCGTCAACCAGACGGAGTTTATATAACATCAAAATCCACCGCTAAAATATTCATAGTGAATCGACGAGTGCATCGGTGAATTCTGGTTCTGGCAACCGCGTATAATTCATTCTCAAACGCGTAACCTGAGCGACGCTACGTTCGAAAGAATTTAACGGATCAACAGAGAGAGGTCGTCCGAACAACGTCTGTCGTTCGCTGCGGGTAATTTGAATTTGTTCTCCAATCTGTCAGCACACGGAGGAATGCAAAAGGACTGCCGAGACTGTTTAGGTATCCGATACCGTATCAACTCCCTGGATCAAACGTGGAAGTGGTTGCATCAAACAATCACCCTTCACGAGTACCTGATTTCAATAACAGCCAGCCAATCTAACTTCATGAAGAGACCGTGTCACTAGATCCGCTATCTACAGACAAAAACATCAAACGCTATCAAGGCTGATCTCGCTACAAATACACGGAGGTGTAACACCTCATGAATTTAATAGTCAAAGACTGATTTCACGCGATATCGCAACATTTCTACAGAGTTTTCGCATCACGCGCGCGCGCGCGGTGTGTGTGTGTGTGTGTGCGTGTGTATCGTGCACGAAGGAAACATTTCAATCACACGTGTGCGCAAGAAAGGGAAAATGTCTTTGATCAACAGATTTATGGTTGTTGTCAAACGAAAGCCTCAATACAATAATTTCTATCGAGTGTCTAGATATTCGACGTCGAGCTTCAACGAGAAACAAAACAATCGTAACGATTCGATCACAAAGTCAGTATTCATATCGCAGTCCACTGATGTATTCACCAATCTAGCGTTAGAGGATTGGTTCTACAAGAACCAAGATTTTACAAATCATCACGTGTTACTTCTATGGCGTAACAATCCGTGTATAGTGATCGGACGCCATCAGAACCCGTGGATCGAGCACAATACCCAGCTAGCTGAGAAACGTGGTGTAGTACTGGTCCGACGTAACAGTGGTGGCGGTACTGTCTACCATGACCGTGGTAATTTGAATTTGTCGTTCTTCACACCGCGGGAACGATATAACCGGAAATACAATCTGGAAATCATAACCAGAGCTTTGTACCGGGAATGGGGTGTCGAAGCGGAGGTTAACAAACGCGACGACATCGTTGTCGAAGAGAAGTACAAAGTATCCTTTCGCGTAATGTATCAAAAATATGTATATCTGTTTACTCAGGATGTTCCAAAAATACACGCTCGACGATTATATTAATAAGTATATTAATTTGCTAGAACGATAAACGAAGATGGAGCGAAGTTAATTATCTTAACTTCGTCGTACCAACATAGAGACGATCTGAGGAGTATACATATACGCGTGTAGTATCTTTAAGTTGTGTATTTCGAAACATCGGCAGACGATTTATTTTAGAATCGATAGTCACTTCATAAAAGCAGAATATATAATAATACAAAATATATGAAAGCAGAATACATATAATAATAATGTATCAACAGATTTTTCATGTTTGTTTTTTTTTATTTTGTATTTTTCTTTCTTTTATTTTATATTTTGTAAATAGTACCGGAATATTGGAACAACCTATCTAGAAGCAAAGCTTCGCGCTTTGCGAAAAAGTTACCTGTGTATCCTTAACTGTTTTAAAATACAGATATCGGGTACCGCGGCGAAATTAGGACGTCCTAACGCATATCATCACTGCACGCTATTGGTCAACGTTAATAAAACAGCTTTAAACTTGTCACTGGAGAAAAAAGAGGTATACATTCCTTTTTCAATCATTGTCGCATTTATTATTATTTCCTTCGATACAAAATTTTTACATTCTTTCAAATCTAATTTCCTCCTTGTTGGTTCGAAATGGTTCAAACATTTTTTCTTTCTTTTTTATTCAAAATTTAATTTCTTGGCAATCTCAAATTTTCACTGTTTACATGCTTATTTGTATTACAGAATGGTATAGAAACAAATGCTACAACGTCCACGCGTTCTCCGATAAAAAATTTAGTTGATATAAATTCTCACATCCAGATGGACAAACTCATTACCGCGATAGGCTGGGAATATCTTCGCACTAACGCTCTCGTTCTAGAAGACGGTGGACAGGAACTCATTCAACGTCAAAAAGGATTTCAATACATCAATCCCACCGAAGATTGGTTTCCAGGTAAATGTTATAAAAATAAAGAATATGTCACCCTTTTCCTTTCGTGTATTTAATCATTCTCGTGCCGATAATATTTATTAAATTGCTTATCATACGGTTCGCGACACTAGGAGGGAACAAGTGACACTGTGTTTTATACTTCTTACTGTTTTCAGGATTGGACAAATTAATAAGCGAGTTTCGTTCCTGGGAATGGAATTACGGTAAAACACCGAAATTCATGGTAACACGTGTTGTAGATGTGCCTGCCGAAGACAACAAAATCCATCGATTCAATTTGGTGCTAGAAATTGAAAACGGCATCATTGAAGAAATTAAGATGAAATTGCCAGCCGATTTGGTATCGAGAGACTTTAACGAAGACGTGAGCGTGATAACTAATTTACGTGGCTCGAGATACGATCACGAAGTAATGGAAAATATAATAACCGCGATCGGTTGTAAAACTGTAACGCTGAACACGAGTCAAACTGTAGATAAAAGTAATATGATTGCTACGCAATGATTAAACCCGACGAACAATCACAATGATTGTACTTAAATTATCGTTGTATTGAAAACATTATTTTTGTATTTTAGTTCCACTGAAAGATTAATTCTTTCCAATGTGTAATATACTGTAACATAAATGATAAAACAGAAAAAAAAGATGCATTTTAGATTATGTACTCTTTGACTTTATATTTTTGCATTATTAATATATATATATATATATATATACGTGTTACTTGTGTATTCTTCTTGTTAATAAATATTACTCTTGTTAATGAAAGATACATACGCGTTTGTGTTCATGATATATTTCGTGATTAGTTGTTAATTTACTGAATTTGCCAATTAATTTGCTGAATTTATTTTCGTTATTTTTATTCATTATTTTCGTTTTCTATAAAATAAATAAAATAATTCGTTAATTTAATCATCATTACTGAACGATAACCTCGTTATCAACGTGAATACAAAATGCATAGTAACGACTGTATAGATATGTCATTCTTGGACAGTGTTACATGAAGAATATGTAACATACAAAATTAATTAAAATATTATTGGACGATAACCTCGTTATCAACATTAATATAGGATGCATAACAACAAATGTATGGATATACAAATCATTCTTAAACAAAGTTACATGAAGAATATATAACGTATGAATGAAATTGGAACTTTAACTTGAATAAATGGTACAGTGATGTACGTTTCCAATTATTTCAGTCGCGTTGCAACAATAAGGTATCTTCTATCTGTCTCTATTTAAATTTGAAACTCTCGATGGGTAACGATAGAGGCTTGGTTGTAGCATAACATCCCGATAGGCCGGCGGAGGAGTATTTGGGTAAAATTCTGACAGGCTTCCATCGTTTTCCATGCGTCCGTTCAACGACAGCAAAGACTGTTCTCGAGAGATTATGAATCCGCTGTTAAATCGTTCAACGCTATATCTCCGGTTACACAAATACACTCCCAATAACCAAATATAAGAAATAACTAGCCTGCTCAAAATACCAAGTATAAAGCCAAGAATAAGAAACCAATATGCTACAGAATAATTATCTTCCGAATCGGTAACAGGCGTTGGACTTGCGGTTTCTTGACACGTTGACAGAGTTTTGTTGTTTAGTATATTAGACTCCATTTCGATTCGATTTGTTCGTTGCTTAGTTTCCTTGGGATTTGCAACTTTCGAGCGATGGTAATTGCGTGTCATTGTAGGAAGAACGATCATCTTCTCAAACTTTCGTACGTTCCCTTTCTTACTGCAAATTTCATCGAACTCGATGCCATTATTTCTGAGATACATTTGCAGATCGACCATAATTTTGTCGCAGGACCACGGATTTCTGGAAAAGTATAGAATTTTGTTTACTTTCGGTTTTGCAAATTTCCGCCATATGACAAGATGCGACAATGTTTTCAACAATCGAACACTGTCGATGATAAAAGTGAAGTGACGAAACATTGGACTGAAAAGTTAAATTCCTGTTCGAAAATATTTTGACAGTCGTACCCTTCCAATGACAATTTCTGCAAAAAATGCAGCGTTTGCACGGCAATAGCGTTCATCTGAATCATCAAATTGTTTGCAAGATCGAGACGACGAAGGTGCTTGAGTCCGTTGAACGTGTCTAGAGGTAAATGACTAATTTGACATGAATCCAAACTTAGCTCCTACATCAAAATTTACTTCACCTTATTAAAAATGAAATTTTTTTGTAAAAAGATAATAATATACGTTCTTATTGGCAATAAAAAAGAAAAAAAAAATTGATACACATTATGTTTCTGTTGGTACCGTTAACGAAGAGGATCGTAACTTCGGTATATGCGACTTGAAATTATTTTTCGACAATTTTAAAATTCGTAGATTTTTATTTCTCTCGAAGACTTCTGCGGAAATGTCATTAAGCCTGTTTCTTGATAAATCCATGACCATTAAATCTGTAAGTCCATCGAAAGCGTTCAGATCAATTTCGCTGATCGCATTTTTGGAAAGATTAAGGTATTTCAGTCTCGTGAATCCAATATTCTAAAACAATAAACAGTTTTTTTGTTTAATGTGCAAATTATTCACGTTACTTTAGTGAAATCATTGTTCAAATTAACTTCAATAAAATTTGTAATCGACTACAACATAAATCATTAAGGATCGAGGGATTTTATATTTGTAAAATTAATAGTAGTATTCTGTACTTATTATTAATAAATCTTAAATTAGGAAACATTTATTGAACATGGATTATGTGAATGTCTTGAATTGAACGATCTACATTTCTTTATACGATCTATATTTCATTAATAATAACTGATCGATCAAGTAAAGATTTATGTACAAAGCTGTATTAAATTTATGATACGCACATCATTCAAATTTTGAATGTAATATACTCCGACCTATTGGGCAGAATTTAAATTTTTAGATTTGAGAAAAGAAAGCTGAGAATCTCATATTTCATAGGTGAAATTGCAAAGGTTCGTCAATTAATTAATTTCTTTTGCAAATAAAAATTTCGTCAATTTATGGACACTGAAATGCTAGCGCCACATAGCGGCGAAATGGTGGAATTAAAATCTATCGTTGCCTTTGTCTATAGTGATTATGATAATTTATATTTATATCACAATACTATAAATAAATAATAACTCCGTAATTAATTTTAGTTGTTTATATAAAAATATTATCAATATCACAA